ACCTCACTGCCAAAAAACAGAGGGCTCTGTATCCCCAAACCCGGAATATAACAGAATAATGCGTTACCACATCGCAAAATGTACTAGAATTTTCTTTAACATACTATAATAATGGTATGCTAGACTCGGAAGCAGGGTGTCATCCCTCTCATTTCCCTCCTCCAAGGCCGCCATGCGAAGCTCCGCGCTGCGGGGACGACCAAAGTTTGCCCGTGGCATCGCCTGAAAAGTGCAGTGCGCTGCGTAGGGATTAGGGCCAGGGTTTAAGGTGTAGGGTTTGGGGGTTTAGGGTTTAGGTCTTCCATTTCTAAAAAGTAAAGCCCCCCCGCCACACTATAAACATGATCGGATCATATTTCTAAAAACCGCTACAGAAGAAAGAGCCCCCACAATACCCCGTCAACTACACACGCAGGTCTCATCCATGACCCCAAAAACTGCAGCACAGGGTTATATAGGGGTTATATGGATATTCAATAGGGGCTTTATAGGGATCATATAGGAATTATGACCTATATAGGGGACATACAGAAAACATGCAGGGGTTATCATAAAGAAACATCTGGAAAGAACATGGAAAATGAAATGTAAACTGCGGGTGTATAAATGTATACAAAAACGTCTGTGAGAAAGACTTATAAGTTGTACGGCCTCAAAAAATGTGTTGGGTCAATATGTGAAGGTGTCCATCCTGTGTAGCTATGCCTCAACCACTCACAACAGAGAACTGGACCATGGGGACTTATAGGGTAGAGACACGTCTATCTTCCTCTATTGAATCTACCACCAGGAGCTCCTATGCCATGTAGTGCCTTTTGGGCTAGTATGCTAAGATACCATAACAAAGGAGCCCTTGGGTAGCATTTTCTCGGCTGCAAACCTGCCTGCCACGTTCGCGTTTGGCTCCGGGGAGTGAGCAGTGCCATTGGCACCTAGCGGACGCGCATGAACAAATGGGTTGAACAGATGGGCTTGAAGGCTAGATTAGGGGAACGGTCTATCAGGAGCACTCCATGTATCGCATCGATTCCAAAGACTACTGTAGGGACGGAGGAGACAAGTACGACAGATTAGGGCTGTCTTGGTGAAAACCTGTTGCTCCGTCATCATGTTCTTGGCCTTCCTGGCCCTCCTCTCCTCTTCTGTGGGAGGCTGCATTTTCGACGAGTCTGCAGAGCTTCTAGACTAGAATCGCTTTGGAAGTTGTGCTTGGGCCATCCGATTTCTCCAGTAGCTGTAATGTGCAGCACTTTGCAGAAGGGCCTTCTGTAGACCTACGCAGGCGAGCACTTTTGCTGCTGTAAGCTTTACATAAGTGAATGTGCCCATCTTGTCTTCTCAGCTGCTGTGTTCAGTGAGTATAGAAACTGCTTGGGCCCTTTCAACTTTCGTTGGGACTGAAGACTCAGAATCTGTTAGCTTCACGGCTCCTGTCCTGCACTCAGCTCCTGAGGTTGCAACTGATCTCGGACGTGTCCGATATGATCACCTCAGATTCTGTCTCCGGGAATTTGGAGGATAAGTGCTCACAGCCCCAACCTGCACGAAGGCAGGGCATCTTGCAGTGCGTACAAGGCCCACTTCACGTCATTCCGGAAGACAGTAGAAAGCAGACATGGGTCAAAAATAGTGTCTGACCAGTGAAGAAGGCAGACCTTTGGTGGGCAACAACAAGAAAGAGTTCCCCCTTAAGAACCCCCATAGTAATCCTCTATCTCATCCCCTATATAACCCCGTCAAGGAATTTTTCAAACGGTACGGTATAGCTTGAAAATTCCTTACAGAGGTTATTAGGGGATTACTATTGGGGACTATAAAGGGGATATACCTGTAGACCTTGCACTCCTGGGTGGTGGCTCTGGACTCTGGAACTTCCCACATTAGATCGGGCCAGCTTGGGAAGCCTTTAGAAATACGACTGTCTATACCTGCTTCGGTTCCCTGCTGACATATTACTAGATTGATATTTGGTAGTTTCCCTAAATAGGGGTTTATATAGGAATAACGAAAAGAGAAAATGGAGGCTACAATTTAGGGTTTAGGGTTTGACAGAAATAGGGTGCCTGTTTGGGGGGGTCCCCATAAGAAGGACTAGAGTGCTTTCGGGTCTAGCCCGGGCCCCACCTATATAGGGAAACTATGATCTACCACCCCCTCACAAAAGCTTCCTCCTCACATGGCTGGATGCTGGAACGTTCTCTCTCAGCAGCGCCCCTAAACCCCAAACCCTAAACTCTAAACCCTAAACCCAACACTGAAACCAATGCCTGAAACGAAACCTCCACTTCTCAAGCCACACGGGCAAAGGAAACCTCTTAGGTCTCAAATCCCATTCGATGCTTTCCCAAGACCCAACCGTGTCGTAAAAGATCCCTTAAAAACCAGAAACCCTAAACTCTAAACCCTAAGTAGTAGCTTCCATTTTCTTTTCCATCACCCCAATATAACCCCAACATATACCCTACTATAACGTAGTAGTTTCCATTTTCTTTTCCATTATCCCTAGAGGGAGATATATATATATATATATATGTAACCCTTCCAAGGTTGCTGCGACCTTGGCTTGAATCACCACCGTAGCACAGTGCAGAAGCGAGCCTGTCGGCTCCAGTTTCAATGATGAACTGAAGTTCTTTGCTTTGGAAGTTATGATTCCCCTTACGTGGATAGAACATGGCTTTGGGTGTATTATGATAAGATCCCCATATACCCCATATTCTATCTACAACTGCCACCCGTGGTGCTTCACACACAAGTCAGGGAGAAGCAGTGTCTTCAATACGCTGCTTCTGCAAGTGCGGCTGTATCTTTGAGCGCTGTTCCCAACAAGTCCTCGCAAAATGTCATGGAGCCGAAGTATTCAGCTTGCATTCTCATCTGTACCGGCACGGCGGCAAGATGAAACGAAGTTGGACAGCTGTCTCCTTTTGGGCTGAGGAGTCACTTGGATTTCGCGGCTTTCAGCCCAGAATTTCAGATGGTTTGATTCAGTCTTCGTTCCTTGCACTGCCCCCGTGGAGGTCTTGAAGACGTGTGGATGCCTGTCGGATTTCCAAAGTGGCTGCGACCGCATTGCAGGATTCCACAGCGGGATGAAAAGATTCTTATGACGATCCTTACTTCATCCCTTGCCCTGGTCGTCATAGACGACTTTTACTCCCAGACCTCAACACAGGCCTTCAAGAAGGCTCAAGGTGCCCGGGATGGCAATGTCAATGCGCACACTCTCAAAGGAAGAGCGCGAAGCACACAGCCAGCGGGCCCCGCGAAATTCGATGCTGCCTCGGTTTTTCCAACAGACTGCCGATCTGTGGACGCACCGCGTGGCAGAATTGCGAGCCGGTCATGTAGCCCTGCGACAGCACCCTCAACCATTGGAAGCTCGCAACTGGCTGGCCTAGACTGCAAGTACAACGAGATTCCTCTGCCGACGAGCCACCTGTCCATCGAAGCTTCAATTCTCTTGTGATTGTGCGATTCCCTGTCACCACCTCAGCTCATCAAGCAAAGAAGAAAAATCGTTATCTCACCCCAACAACATAAATAAATGCGAAAGCAGGCTGGGATGCGCACGCATACGTTGCCCTTAACGGTGGAACAGGTACCTGCCCACACATGCATCCTTGAAGGCCATGCGCCAGGCTCATGTTCTTCCGAGTTCTTAAGGCCGCACCATGGAACAGAGCCGCAACGGGCAAGTAGAAAAATGCCAGCAAGCAGACCCGCCTTATCAAGCAGATCTGAAGTTCCTCACCGATATCTTCAAGCTCTGAGAAATGCGCCACGCTGCCATCAGCCGCCATTCACTTGGGCAGACTATCAAATTGAAAATCCTTATAAATGTTGTCACATCTGTCTTTTAAAATCAGGTTGCTTGTCTTGAGATCCTCCTCTTTCCATGCATGCATCTCGAAATCATTCACTGTATGAAGTCTATGATGAAAGGTCAGGGCGTGTGGTGTTGGCCGGCTTTCTCTTACAATCCTCATATCAACACTTCTTGGCTGCGGCACAAAAAATGTGTGAGGGACCTGGCCACGCTGGCACGTGAACGCTGAATGCCGGCAGCACATGACCACGCAAAGCAAACGCATCACCTTGGTGTACTTCCGTTAGTATGAGTGGTATACTATCTTTAATAACAAGACTACATCACGTTCAACAATGATATTGTCTTATTTATAAACGATGAATCCCTCACTCTCAGCATGCATCTGCACATTATGAGTTTTTAACTTGATGCAGGCAATGCATACTACTGTACTCTTCTCCAGGTGATGAAACGGAAAGCAGTATTCTGCCAACATGGGGTCTCTTAAAATTGCCCGTGTCAAGTCCTCAATCGAGACCTCAAAAACCCTGTTGGATGCCCTATATTGAGAACCCCCCAATAGCTGACTCGCACTGATCCCACGGTCACTTCACAGGGAACCTGCGCAGGGATCATCTTTGCAGCTCTTCAGGTGCAGGAGCAACAATCCTACAATTACATGGACACGACAACCACAGTCCCCAACTCACAAACCGCCCTTCTGACGTGCTGCGTGCTCTTCCATGAAATTCCAACAGAACCACCCATCATGCCATCCCGTGGAACCCAACAAAACGGTTTGAAAACATACTTGGCTTTATACCAGCTCCAAAGAAGCGGAAATCCTGCCTAGATCCGGGCTCAGACTGTTAGTCTGGCAAGTGGTTGAGACCTTTGCACATCAACGATTACCAGCTGCAGGCACACGTCCTACTTCCAGGAGAAGGGTACATGCCTCCTGCCAGTAACTCCTTTCCACGAGGTACAGTAGAGGTTGCACGGCACCGGTTCTGCAACATAGGACGCGCTCGTGCATGCCACACTACACAAGCCTCACAACTGTGGTCGAGAACTAGTTGACAGGTGAAATGTCGACTTTATGCTGGGTCTGGTGCCAGCTCCTTGTTTAAATCGGAATTGGACCTGTAGCTGTCTTGGGAAGCTATCCCCAGGAGATTTGTTGAGGCCATCAAGTACATGGCTGGAGTGACACCTGTCCCCAACCCAGCTCTCTGGGCGCCAGCCTGGCAGCAACTTGCTCCAGGACGGCACGGGACAAGGCCTCCAAGTCTGCACAGTCTTCCCCCTCGTCGATAAGGGGGAGGGCTTCCGCGGTAGATTCTTGCCTTGACGAACGTGAAGAAGGTGGGGAGTCTATGAGGATCCACTCCTCCGGCTCAGAAGTTCGAACCACGAGATGTTCCACCTGCGCTGGCACGGTATGGGCTGCAGGAAACTGAAGCTGAAGGTCTTCCATGGAGGGATCACCATTCTGCAAAGACCGTGACGTTGGCTCAGGCAAGCTCAGGTCGCGAATGGCTGCATGCAGTTGCTCAAATGCCCGTGGAATTGTAGAATATGCGGAGCACAGTCTGTTCACCTGCTCATGCATCTTGAGCATCTCGTCATCCAACACCTGGGGCTCCAGGGTCACCTGCGCATCCTCCGCAGTGCCAGCAAGATCCTCTGCAACCTCTACAACAAGATCCAAGCATGTTTCCAATGCCTCGCTTCTGTCGCAAATTGTCCTTAGCTGCTTGGCTGTCTCACGCAGCATCTGGCTCATGCGCAGGAAGGCCGCTTTGGATTTCTCGTGCTGCTGGATCTCTGCTGCCCAGAGCCTGGCCAAGAGACTCTTGAACAGATCGCGGCCCATGTACCCCAGTAAGCACAAAGCCAGGATGCTGGCGGAGCCGATGACGAAGGGTGAAGCAGTTGTCAGAACGGCAGACAACGAATTCACAGCTAGCTGAAGAGAATTCACGGAGGCCGCTGCCTGTGTGGCCTGGGCAGCTGCGGTCGCGGATGCAGCTGCAGCTGCAGTGGCTGCTTGTTGAGCTGCAGCGGCAGCTGCTTGTAAAGCGGATGCTATGGATGCTGCATGAGATGCAGCCTGGGTTGCCGTCACCGCAGCTGAATGAGCGATCGCACTCCATATCGCACAAGCACCAGCCGCTGAAGCTCCTGCTGCTAACACTGCTAGACCTGCAGGACCAAATGCGGCAGCACCTGCAACTCCTCCTGCAACACCGGCAGCTGCAGTGACGCCTGCACCCACAGCAGGATTGCCAGAGGAAGAAACAGCAGCTGCTGCCTTCAGTGCAGCCGCTGCTGCCTCTGTAGCCTTTGCCTTTGCAGCTGATGCTGCAGTTGCCTTTGCTCCAGCAATGGCCACGGACTTTGCTGCAGCTGAGTTTGCTGCTCCAAGGGCAGCAGTTGCAGATCCCAGCGCAGATGTCTTGGTCATAAGCATCATTCCTGCGACCAACGCAGTGCCTCCCGCTCCGGCAAAGACCAGCACGCCACCAACAGCTGCCACATAGTTGATCCGGCACAGCAGCGAGAACCAGTAGTCTCGCCTCTGCTTGGTTTGCTCAATTAGGGTATCTGAAGTGTCAGCTGCGTCTGCGCACTTGTTGGCCAGGACCTGCATTTTGGTGTGAAGGCGATCGAGCTTGGGGCGCAACTCTTCGTACTTGCTTCTGAATCTCTTTGCCTTGTTAGAGACTCGTGTTGCTCGATTCTGCCAGTGAGTGATCTGTCCCTTCTCCAAGTCCTCCCGCAGAGCACTGATGTCATTGTGGATGCCATCCGCTTCTCTTTGCAAGGCATTGATACTGGATGGATGGATGTCTTTGATCAAGTGGCCCAAGGCCTGAGCATCCTCCGAACTCAGGGTATCCTGCATCTCAGCGGCAATCTTTCTGGAAGCTTGGAATTGGGCAACCACATTTTGAAAGGAGCGAGACATCTCCACAGCAAGCAGATGGCAAATGTTGTTTCGAACCCAGTCTGGACATCCCATCAGAATTTCCCGCAGCTGTGCCCACTCTGATGTCTGGGCCAAACTCTCATCAAGGCGTTCCAGCGGATCGCGGCCTGCATCTCGTAGCAGCTGCACGATGAGGGGTTCTGGAAGGACTGGCACTATGGCAGTGCTGGCTCCGTCCATGTCTTCCCTGCGAAGCTGTACAAAGGGCGCTTGAGTCAACTGCACGGCTACACTCAAGCGGCTCCACAGGCATGTGCTCTAACAGGACCATGCTTGCTATTAAATCCAGAGTCCAGAGTGGTGGAAACCTTCCACCTTGTAGCAGCATTGTAGCTATCTTACGTGCGTAGAACTTCCTGGGATCCCGGCCAGCAAGCCAAGTGGGCAGAAGGCCATGGCCAAATATTTTCAGAATTGAGGCTCCCTGTTCAGGGGGTCTCCACGGCTGAGCCTTTCTGAGAAGGTTCTAAGAGTCTCCCGTCTCACTTTGTATGCAGAAGGCAGTGAGCAGCAAGAGTTGAGGGCGTAAACTGGAGAAGCAGCAACAATCGCTTTTTGGGCGCCGGCTGTTGAAACTAGCCACCTAACTGTCGCATAATCCTGGAGCTGTGACGTAGCGTCAGGCCAAAGCTCATGGGAGCTTTCTCCAAAGACAAGATGGTTCCTTTGTACACGCGGCCGCCTTACGGCCCCGCACAAGCTGCTAATCGCTTCTCCCTATTTCAAGCCCTCCATACTGACAACTTGCTTTGTGACACCCTCCTTCACGCCGTAGTTGCACTTAAAAGAAATCTGCAACTGTGGGAGGACAACTCGTCAGGAAGAAGAGACTGCTCGGTTCACACGACCAGAAGCCCGGAGGACACCGCTTGGGGAGGCCTCATCTCCGGCGCTCTCGCGGCCGCATTTCTCGCCACCCATCTCGGCCATCTCGCCCATCTCGCCCATCGCGGCCATCGCGGCCATCGCGGCCATCCCGCCTGTCGCGGCCGTCGCGACCATCATGGCCATCCCGCGCTTCTCGCTCGCCTCTGTAGGCATGGTTGCCACGATCTCCTCAGTCAAGCAATGAAAATCCTACACGCAACGACCCCAAAGTCAGCCCGAGTTCCCAACGATCCGGCGCGCGCTCGGAAGGAGCACGCCCCCTACGCGGGGAGGCGGCTGGCCTCCCCTGGCCAACAAAGCATGCTTTCTGCCGTCAGGGAAACCCATTATTACCATTGTTGCTATGTTGTTCTTATGACTATTTCTGTTATTACCTTTCTTAACTATTCCTGTATCATTATTACTACTATGATTAGTATTTGATTCTCTTTTGATTTCATGAAAACGCCCCAGGCACCCTCCGTGGCGGAGCATCATTCTGGGGCTGTGCCCTCGGCTTGCCCTTGCCCTCACTCTCAGAGGCACCTGGAGATGTGTTTCAACTCTCCACACTGTTCCTACTTTGGGATCTTTACAAGGATGCTCTTCCTGTGATGTTTTAAATGTTGTTCTGCCTGGTCGAGTCTCAAGACTTAGGATAACTGGAAAAGCGCATGGCAAAATTGAAATTGCGACGCATGGCCAGAAACTGCTCTACCAACATATCTCAAAGACCAGGCGGGTCAAGTAAAGTTTGATAGCTGTTATTGTGGCCAACTTCCATCTTTGTGTCAAGAAGTCATCACTAACATCTTTGCTGCTTCCAAGCTGGGCTATCGGCTCTCGTCAACCTCCTCCTCTTCTTCCTCGCTCTCGTCATAGGAATCTTCTGAACCTGCTTTACCGCAACGGCTCTGGCGACCATGCCTAATGCCAACTGACAGCGGTTGGGCAAAATTAGCGCGATGTCAGAGTACGCTCTGTTGCGTAGGGGATTCACTGGATCCATTGCAGCTTGACCAGGTTTTGCTCTCGCACGCATTCCATGTGAACTAATGCTGGTAGAATCCCCCTATGTCCTTATGTGGGCGCCTTCCTCTGCGTTGTTGGCCCCCTCCTTGGCCGGAGCTTCCGCAGCTTTCTGAGTATCGTTGGCCGGAGCCTCTGGGCCCATGCCTTCAGCAATGCCGCAGGAACACAACAGTACCACTGGCAATCACAATCACGATCACGATAGCAGTTTGGAGCAACCAATAAATATTCTAATTTTAACAATCAAATGGACACCAATACTGCGTTCACCCGAGGATCATCCTCACTCAACGGAACTAATCATAGCACAATCATAGCAATCAACAATGGACCCCGACGGGAGGCATCTTTCCGCGGCGAGTGCGGTACTACGAGATGATGTCATTTGCATAGTCTAAACTCCTTGTACTCCCCTGAATAAACCTGAAAATACTCCTATCATCCCCTGTATAACCTCTTTAAAGAGTTTAGGCTGTAGCTCATATGGGCTGCTGAGCGTATGGCCATACTTCTTGTCAAACTCTGCGAGCGCTGCTGCATTCTCTTCGCCCTGGCTGAACGGCAGCGGAAAGTTCTGACTAGATGATGGGAAAGCAATAACATAAAAAAATAATGACACTAAGAATAAAGATATCAACAAGAATAATAAGAATAAGAATAATATTAAGAATAGAAATAACAATAACAGTAATAGTGGTAACAATGACAATAATACTGAAGCCGATGTCACTCGCCTTGGCTTTTGCAGTTTCAGCGAGTTCTTCTTTCTCCTTCGCCGCAGCCTCATCATCGAATCGAAACTGGCTTCATCGCCGACTTGTCCAACACATCTTCCCAACGGCAACAGAACACATGTTGGCTCTGGTTACCTCGGCATCGGTGGCTTCTTGCGCCGCAGCCTGCCACACAGCTTCAGCAAAACTTGCCAGAAGTGACCCGGCGGGATTCCAACCCACTCCACCTTCCTAACAAAAAAGTTGAAACCATGGGCCTCTAGTATGGGCCCTTCACGGGGGGATCCTTAGATACCTACTATATACCCTAAATGTACCCTTAAGAGTCCCCTGAAAAGTCTAAGGGCTTAGATGAACATTAGGCTTGCTTTTCTAGTGGGACAGGGCACAAGGCCATCCAGTCTAGTTCTGCTGCCTCGGCGTCCTGCTTCAGGCGTTCGGCCTCATCCTTGACCTCTTCAACCTGAGGTCTTGACTTGTTCATCTTAGGGTTTAGGGTTTAGGATTTAGGGTGTAGGATTAGGGTTTACGTTTTAGGGTTCCTGAGTTCCTCACCCAAATCCACCCCAAATCAACAATGGTCGCTTCCATTTTCTTATCCATTGTGCCTGTATGACCCCCATAGACCCTTTGAAGGGGCTGCGCGGTCTTCATAGCATGCGACCTGACACTTAGCCAGTACCTAGGCAAGATTTGGGAGTATTCCAAAATTAGGGAGTATTGGGGGTACCTTTTGGGTGTTCCCATGAGAAGGATTGTAGTATTTGGAGTCTATAGCCCCCATTTTGGGAAACTACCCTGTATCCCTATATCCCCATGTCATACCTGTGTAACCCTAGCTTCCATTTCATGTTCCATCTTTTTTCCCTTGATTTTCCATTATTGGGCCTATACACCCCACCCTAGACCCTAAAATGTGGCTTCCATGTTCTTTTCCGGAATCCCTGTATATCCCCTGTATCCCTACTTTGGGAAACTACACCCTAAACCCTAAACTGCCAGTTCAGTTGTCCAGCCTCCTGCGTGAGGGCCTGGAGCTCTCGCTTCTTGGCTTCGATCTGGTCAGACCACTTGGAAACTATCAAACCTCTAGCCCTGGTGGCAGAGCTACGAGTCTTCGTGGGGGGCAAGGAGTAGCATAGCAGCGATCATGATTCCAGAGTCATTCCAAGAAGGTTTGCACATGCTAAGCAACGCGTTCGAAGATCATAGCTTGCTGTTTCCGATTATGACGACGATGACGGCATATGAAGAGGAGGAGAGAGGCGACAATGAAGAAGAGGCTGGCGAGCTTTCCATCTTTAGAAGATGTGCCGCAACTTAGGTCTCGGCACGTTCCCAGCCCTGAGCCCTAAACCCTACTGTAGGGTACCCTAAGGGTCCATGTACCCAATAATTGGGTACTTGGGATTTGGGTACCAGAAACTACAGCACAGGGATGTGAAATGTGAAACCGCCCAAACCCGCAGCCTGCTCTTGCAGCTTCTCGGCTTTCGCTGCCTTCGCAGATCCCGAAGTAAGGACCGCGCATATACAAAAAAAAGGTTGGCAAACATGGGAGGCATTTTTAAGGACATAAATAAGAACCAAAAAACAAGCGTACTACTTGCAAAAAAACCCTTGAGTTTCATAAAGCCACACCTGGTCCGCAGCATCCTCCTCCAAGTGGGTCGCCTTCTCACGCTTCTCGGTTGCCAGCTCTTTGGCTTCCTGCGAGAACTGATCTGGCTGTATTTGTGGTTGGGTTTAGGGTTTAGGGTTTAGGGTTTAGGGTTCAGGGTTTAGGGTTTAGGGTTTAGGGTTTAGGGTTTAGGGTTCAGGGTTTAGGGCTCCATGTGAGCTACAATGAGTACTTCCCCAGAAAATTTAAGGACATGGGTTCCTTATTGGGGACCATGTAAATTACAAGAGAGGCTTCTATGTCCAATGTTATGGATCCCTTGATAAGGCTGATATTTACAGTAGCTTATCTAAGGATTGCAGAGAGGGTCCAAGACTTTGTTTAATGATCTCATAATGCAGCTGTGGTACGTCGGGAGAGACATTGTTTTTCAGGGCGAATGGTTTTTCTCAGGAGAAGGTATCTACAAAAGAGCATGATCCCAAATGTGCAGGGTTTAGTGCTGAAGGGCCCTTCGACAAGTAGATTGGGAATGCATATGGAGGAGAGAAATATGTTTCCTAGAATCTTTACGGGCTTGTCAATTTTGTGCGTCCTTGTACTAAGGAGGATTTGTTTGCTCCAGAACTTCGGGCAAACTGCTACGACAACGAATTTTATTCTGATTACTCCTTTCGCTACAAGAACTATAGATTATCACCATTGCACATTACTTCAACAAGATGATTACCTCTAGACTACTACTAATAATAACATTATTATTCTATTAATTTTGTAAAACAACTGCCCAACCTCGGCATCTGCAAAGGCTTCGCCTGCTGCAGACATGGTCTCAGCCACCTGGCACACCAGCTGAGCAGGGCGAAGTGAAGACCAGAACTGCTAGGGGTATAGGGTTTAGAATAGTGGCAATCGTCATGATGGTCACCATAATAGGAAGAATACGATGAATATTGAACTAGTAACAGTGACCGTGCTAGTCATTACTTAGTGTCACTGTGGTAGCAAGGAGCAGGAGAGCAATAGCAATCGCAATAATACAAGAGCTACAGTACTGGAAAGACCATCTGCAATAGTAGTACAGAGAACAGTGAAACGTTGTCTCCTTGCGTGCTTGTTGCTACCTCTACTCCGACTCCCTCACCTTCAGGAGCCATGAAGCAGAGCGTCAGTCACGTTTTAATGAAGGTACCGACCGACCACAAGCTCAACAACAACAACCTCCCATCAATATGCAACAAATCCTGCAAGAGGCTGAGGTCTTGGGCTGGGAGGTAGATAGACCTACTCAAAGTCCTGCCGTTGGAGCAAGAGTACCTCCACCCCCAATATATCCCTATAACCCCTATACCCTTAGTAGTTTCCATTTTCTTTTCCATTATCCCTATATAATCCCAAAATACACCCTTGAATATTATATTATAATAGCTTCCATTCTCCATTATCCATATATTCAAACCCTAAAAAGCCATCGACTCCGACGGCATGTCCACCTTCGCCTCCAGGTCATCACGTCGGGTCTTGCGCTCCGCGGTGGTGGAACGAGCTGGGCCCTTCTCCTCGGGCTCCGGCTCCCTGGCGCCCGAAGACTTGGCAGCGGTTTAGGGCTTAAAGTTTGAAGCTTAGGGTTTAGGGTGTAGGGTTTAGGGTTGAGGGTTTAGGGTTTAGGGGTAAAAAGTTTACGGTGTAGGGATAGTACTAGAGACTTGGATAATGTTGCACTGTGTTTAGTGTGCAAGCCCCCACCCAAACTATTAGGGTTGACCTTCTTCAAGCGGTACCCCTAGGCAATTTGTGGGGGTGCTCCGTCTGCTCGTACTAGCATTACTAGTACTAGGACCTCTTGATCCCTCAAAAAACTTGAAACTGTTCTTGTTCTAAACAAATTAAAATTTCAAATCTTCAGAATTCCAAACTAACCTATGTGGCCCCAAAACTTTGCGTTGAACGGGGTACCCTAAAACAATGGCATATCCTGAATAAGCCCAGGAATTCGTACGTAGAGATGTATGAGGGCCTCGTGAGGGTACATAATGTTTGGGGAGCTGGTCGAACACTAGATTGTTATATTGCTGTCAAAGACCATTAGCTGCCAGGATCTACTGTGATCTGAAGCTACATACCATAGTACACGTGTTCGATCAAGTTGCTTTATGGCCACTTCTAGTCGTTCGATGTGCTTTAACATGCTTGTGCGTTACGTTCACTATGCTGAAGCAGCCTTC